CTCCTCCTTCTTTTTCTTTTCTTTTTTTCTTCTTCTTCTACTGGTTTTGGAGGCCGTCAGAGATGGCACACACACCCCTCCTCGCTCTCCAGCCAACGTGAGGCTTTTAATTCCAGAGGAGGAAAAAAAAAAAAAAAAAAAAGAATCAAGGGGCCCAGGAGAAAAGAGAAGCAGAAGAAGAGGAGGAGGAGAAGGGGAGAGGGGAGAACAGGCGATGGGGAGGGCAGGAGACATTTTCTGCTGATTAAGTAAGTGTTCGCTTCGGCTTCCATTATTTGACAGACGCATCAGAGCAACAAGCAACAAATGTGAAAGCCCCCACTTTGCTGTAATACAGAGCGAGGGAGCGAAACAGAAGGACAAAACAAATCAGTAGCATATTTCACCGAAATCCCTCCACTCCCTCGAGCGCGAGCGGTTCTGTCGGCCTTCCAGTGAGACTGTTTCAACGTGATGACAAACACCTCGCCCGGCCAGGTGTCCTCCCTTACTGTTCTGGGCTGTGTAATCCTCTGCTTAAATCAGTGTGAGCAAAGGACAGAGAGCACTGGACCGGTTCCCAAATTCCCCCTCCTCCTCTTCCTCCTCCTCCTCCTCCTCCTCCTCCTCCTCCTCTTGTGTCTTGGCACAACATCCAGCTCCCCGCCAGAGAGGAGACACCTACGGGAGTCCTGGGGAAGTGTGTCTGTTTGTGTGTGTGTGTGTGTGTGTGTGTGTGTGTGTGTGTGTGTGTGTGTGTGTGTGCTGCTTACACAACCTCACTCTCTCTCTCTCTCTCTCTCTCTCTCTCTCTCTCTCACACACACACACACACACACACACACACACACACACACAAAGGCTCTCACTTTCTATCATACACAGATTCTGCAGGAATCATTAGCAAAACCAGCAGAGGGAATTTCACACAGGCAATGTGCCGGGCAAAACATCACTCAGAGCGTACGCCCCAGGGGTCTTCAATTAGACCCTAAATACCTCAGCGAGTATCCAAGGGTCCTAATTACTTCAGACTGTTGAAAATGGCCGCGGGCCGCCTGAGGCCGAGGGCTTACCGAGGATATGCCTGTTTAGAATAGATTCTGGCCCCGAGATCAGTCGGGTTTTCCTGTGTTGTCGGTCTACAGCATCAGACAGAGGAAGCAGTCTTTGTTCATCAGAGCCGAGGCAGAGCTCGACTGCTGGTGGTGTGCTGTAGATGTATTTATAGCAGGAGAAATAGACACGACTGCAGGATTAATTCTCAAACCAGAGAGAAGAGAGAGAGAGAGAGAGAGAGAGAGAGAGAGAGAGAGAGAGAGAGAGAGAGACGTGGTGTGGGGAGGCAGCAGCAGAGGAGGGCCACGCATCAAGAGAGGAAGAGTTAAAAATATAGCTGAAGATACATCTGCTCTCTTGGATACAAAGCATCAGACTCACACAGTGGAGAGCTCACACACACACACACACACACACACACAAAGTCAGATCGATCCCAGTAACAGTTACAACACATTACAGAAGCGCTGACCTTTTTCCTAAATCGGTGCAGATTCACATTAAAGGGCAAACGAGAGGACAGAGATCATCTAAATACAATCCTGGCAGCCACACACACACACACACACACACACACACACACACACACACACACACACACACATTTCAAACACATTACCCAGCAGTCTTTTCAACCCTTTCAAAAATCCACCTTATATTTCAAAGCAGCAGCTGTGAGACTTCGCTGCACGTATCCGTGTACATCGCTGTCGAAACCCAAACAACTCTGCAAGGACTTTCAGAATTGCTCGATTTCGGGACAAACTCTCACAATACATTCAAATCCAGACTGTAAACTCACTTTGCAATGAATATAAATCTGCTCCAAAGCACATCCATGCACATCCATGGGTGATGTGATGAACTTAAGGATAAACATGTTAAACAAAATGACATGACACTGAAATAAATACCCTGCAGAAGTTGTGAAATCCAGAGAGAGAGTTTGGTTGTGAGCGGTAACTCTCTCGCGGGACATCAGCAGAGGAGTGATTGGATCATTATTGACGTTATGAGGCTGAGCTGGATGGCTGTCAGGAGATGAATTGGCAACTATTTTGATAATCAGTTAATTGTTTAAGTCGTTTTTTTGGGGTTTTTTTTTTTTACAACGATCGAGGGAGAAGAAAGACGAGGAGGAAGAGGAGGAGGAGGAGGGAGTGGCAGAGATACTCTACTGACTTAGCATCTCAATTAAAACAGTGATGTGAAGCAAGAGACGAGGCAGAGGGGATGGATGGTGGGAGGGAGGAGGAGGAGGAGGAGGAGGCAGACAGGGGAGGAAAGAACAGAGGTAATCCGAATGACGTTAACACACACACACATACTAACACAAACACACACACACACACACACACACAGCAAAACAAAGGCTGCCTGAAACCTCCGGAGCAGAGCGCTATCAGCCAAGGAGACATTCCCTCCCAGAGGCCTCTCACATCCAGCCACCCCCACATCACACGCACATGTATGTTGCCGACACACCGGGAAAGACAGACGGACGTTGAGAGTTAGTAAAGAGTCTCCAGTGCCTCCACTCTCTCCAGAGAGCTGAATCAGTGCAGGTCCGTACACTTATGAATCAATAATACACAATAATACACTTCAGCGGCAGGAATGATTCAATAAGGCTCCGTTGCTTGAATAGACTCCACCCCTCCCTCGCTATCCACCCCAAAGCAAAGGCGGCCGTTCGATAAACAGCCACTCCAGGTTTGTATCAATAAACTAATTAAAAACGCAGACCCTCACTGTAGGTCCAGTCATGTGAGGTCAATAGATTTTCATCACTCACAGTCGTTATGAATAATCAATCTGACGCAAACACCAGGTCAGAGGAACCAGAGCATGACGTGGGAACAATGAAGCTGGAGAGCGTGGATTTGAGGGCCAACACACACACACACACACACACGCACGCACGCACACCCATGTTCTGTCAGGTGACTGTGGATGCAACACACACACACACACACACACACACACATATACACACACCTTTGTCACACAAAGACAGTTCAAATCTGCTCTTTTTGTTCATAGGTCATGAAGCTTGTTCACTGGATGCACACAGGTTTTATAGGAAAACAGATCAAACAGATCAATACACACACACACACACACACACACACACACACGTCAGAATCTGTATGTCTAAGCAGGCCATGTGCTTACTCTATGAGGCCAGGTATTGAGGACATTCAATAACCCCTTGAGGTCAACTGGGAAAGCTGCACAGCCAAGCAGGTGTTTCTTACCTGCCAGGTGGAAGTCGGCGCGCATGTGCGCATGAGCAGTCTCCTATCTCATAAGTAAAAGGATATGGGTTGCAGACCATCTTGAGACACCAGCTCCGAGGCCGGGTGGTTTGTTTCAGGTAGAAGAAGACCACCGGGGCCAGGGTGGGGTAGGGCAGGCTTTCCGCACCGCTCGCCGACGCCTCCTCCCCGCCTGTAGAGATCCCGTCAGGCGCCGGGGACGCCGGCTCCACCACCACCTCGCTGCTCTCCCCGCTTCCCGCCCCGACCCCAGACAGGTCGTTGAGCCGGATGAAAGTCCTCGGCAGAGAGGAGCGACCCTCCGAGCCCCTGGCGTCGGGGACCCCGGAGAGATTTCCCGCATCCTCGGCCATCATTCACCTCCTGCAGGCGAGAGGCGAGCACAAACATATGATTACACACAGTAAATACAGCTGACAACCGCGGGAAGCGGAGCGCATTATGGGAGCAAAGTGATTATTAAGATTAAGAATTTTTCTTTTAAATCAACTTTGCACGTAGTGAAAAACCTCCCGCTGCAGCACACATGCTTACAATTAAATCTAAATATTGGATGGAGCAGGGATCGTCATGGAGGGGTTGTTTTGGGAAAAATATGCGCACACCTCATCGAAGAATTATTTTTAAAAGAATTTGAATGTGATACAAAACATATTTGTGATGGCTCCAGATGACCGAGGAGGTTCTGCATTTACTGTCATGAGCTGAAAATAGAATGGAGCTCCACCAAAAAAAAAAAAAAAAATGAGCCACCACCAAAAATTCAAGGGAGCTCGCATTCCTTTTCATCAAAAACAAAGCCAGAATCTCCGTCTCTCCTCAGCAACAATAGCCTGCGACTGTGAGAATCCGTCTGCAAACTTCAGCAGCATCAATCATCCACCAACATTACAGTCATTTTCAAGTGATTTGCGGCAGTTATTCGTCTAAACGAATGAAAGAGCATCTTTACCGCTCGGTTTATTACCTGTAATGGATTCGGTAGATGTGCTCAAAGCGCGCTCAGTCATCGCATGATCAGTTTTTGTTGTGGCAATTAAGTCCAAAACCAGCCTGAAGAAGAAGAAGAAGAAAAAATCCCGTTGTGAAAGAAGCAGAGACGGAGGAGAGAGAGGAGGTAAAGCGGAGATGAGAGGGGCAGAGAGGAGAGGGTCTTGTGGGTTTGGTGCGTCTGGCGGACCGTATAGTTTCCAAGGTGGTGCGTTGCAGCGCGGGTCCGTCTCAGCAGACACTGTGCGCCCGCGCCCGAGCCCTCCGATGTCCAACGAACCTTTCCAGGGGCCTCAGCAAAACTTCATAATCATCCCCCCGGTAGAGAGGGGGAAAAGGGAACCGCGAGATGTCGAGCTACTTTTGCAGCGCTTCAGTCTTGTGGAAATATTAACGCCGCGCACAAACTTCTTTATGATTTCCTCCTCCTCCACACAGCTGATGGACAAACCCCCCCCAGAAAAATGAGGGAAAAAAAACCCAAAATGAATGATCGATTCGTTTCCTCCGCTGCTTTTCCCACTTCACACAGAGAATCCAGGACTTTTCGCCGCATCCACAGGCGGTTTTAAGCGCATATCCCGCATCAGTGCGTTAAAGATCCATGGAGATGCTGCTGCACATCATTTCGCTGAGCACAAACAGGCGCCACAGAGACGGGCTTTGATTCTTTTCTAAATATGACGAACGGCTTCCCTCTCCATTGCTGCACACATGACCAGCCGGGCGCTCCCGCTCTCAGTCTTGTCTCCTCCGGGCTGCGTTCGCTCGGTTCCGTCCATCAGCAGAGCTCACACAGCTGGATCGCCGGACGGGGGATCCTAACTTCTCACTCCTCGCCCAGCGAACGGCCGCTCTGCGCCAATCACAGCGCGTCCTGACTCGGAGCGCCCTCCTCACTGGCCGCGCCGCACGTCAGTCTCAGTTGTACACCGGAGGGGAGGGGGGGAAACAGCTGGAATCTTATTGTTAACTGTCAGCCAATGAGAATCGAGGGAGTGATGGCATTGCTGCAGGATTGGTCCAGACCTTTATTATGGGGAATTTTGAGGGGGAAAAGTTGCCACATGGTGCAATGTGTCTCCAACTAACTGCGAATATACAGGGATGCATATAACAGACGTGCACACCCCCCACCCCACCCCAGGCCACGAGGAAAAACCCAGCAAGTCCCCGCAAAACCACAGAAACCACATCTGATCATTTCGTACCTAAAAATCACGTTTAAACTGGATCTTTATTACACAGCTGTGAAATAATAAGCTAGCGCAAAATATGTATTCAGCAGTCATAAATTCTCTTTTTGTGCAAAATGTCTGATAAGTGAAATCATTATGAAGCCAGACTATCCCACAGTGTGCAGAGGAGCCCCCCCCACAGACTTGCCTCAGGGACCCCAGGAGGCCCCTCAACCCCAGTGTGGGACCACATCCCCAAAATTATCACCTTTGCAGATCAGGAACAGTCAGTACAGGCTTTATTCAAATTCAACAAAAGTAAAAGAAAAAGAAAAATCTGTCATTCCTATGTAAAAAGGTTCATGCAATATAAATCATAATGACCCCCCCACCCCAAGCCCCACCCACCCCCAGACCTGGAGGAGAGCGCTGACATTATGGTTGCATGAACCACTAGGGGAAGATGTTTCCCCAGGCCGTCTATCTCACTTTCACACACTCACACTCACACTCACACACACACACACACACACACACACACACACACACACACACACACAGAGTAACTACAGCTGGTTTGGGGAGTGATAGAGCCTGAGGCGGAGCAGACAGTTGTCCTCTGTAGTTTTTAAGTGACACGGTGTCTCTGAATTATAATTCTGTCTGCTGACTTTTGTGTTGTGCACCCGTGTTTGTCATGTGCACACACACACACACACACAGTAATTACTCATTACTCACAACAGAGCGGCAGCATTCTTTATTTTCACCACAGTGCAGCTACAATCATTCATCTAAGAGCAGCAGAGAATCAATGAGGAAGACCAGTTTTTTTTTTTTTAGCTTTTTTTTATACCATCTGTTGCAGCCAGCGCTCGTGTGCAGTAGCAAATATTAATTACATGGGCTGTTTATACATAGCTCATGGTGTAGACTGAGAGTCACACAGAAAAGACACCGGCACGTGAACACAGGAGGAAGAGACGGAGAGGAAAAGTGGAACAGCTCCTGTCACTACACATTGTTTGGACTGATAACTTCATTGTGTACGGCTTGTAGGTGCTGCTCTGAATACATAATAGCAAAAGTAAAACACAATCAAGAGCAGGTTATAGGTAAAACCTAAAGTACAAATGCAACATTTATTAATAATAAGCAATTATAATTTATAATTCATAAAACGGAATAAAGTATTGGTACGTCAACACATAGGACCCGAAAACACTTCCCAAGGCGAGCGTTTGTGAAGGCTTGATGAATGATGTTTGTTAGTGCTGGCCACTTCAAACCTAGACCTCCATTCATCAGAGTGAGTGATCTCTGCTCTCGGTGGGGGGGGGGGGGGTGCGGGGGGGGGGGGGGGGGGGGGGGGGGGGGCTCACCTGTCGCTGACTGCAGTGACGGAGAAAGTCCAACGCCGAGAACAACAACTCCTCCGACCTCAACAACCACACCCTCTGATACGACCCATAAGAGCCCCTCTCTCTCTTTATACTACGCCGCCGCACGTTCCCCTTTGCTCCTGTCATAATGACCATGACCACTAGATGTCGCCTAGCAACAAAGCATAACTATGGGTCATAATAACCTGCTGCACAAACGACCTATGGGCTCGTTTTTTCACAAGAGGACCGTCTCGCCGAGGAAGTTAAAAATGAGCGACTTGTTCCCCCATAACACGGTTTGTATTCACTTGGTAACTCTGCCGCAGTGATCTGAAGGAAAAGTCAAACTCTTCACATCCCAAACTTTATACGACACTGAAACTTTCACAAATGTTTTCTTAGTGTCTTTGATCTTTTAGTCATATCATCAGTTACATGCAGCAGAGTTGCCACAAAGAAAGACAACCTGTATTATATTTATTACATGTCAGCAAATAACACTGAAGAAAGAATCTCTCCAGGATCTCTGGAGCTGGAGACCTGACCTCCCCTGAGACCTCGCTGATGATCATACAGTGGTGGACTGATGGGTGTGTGCACCAGGAGTGAGGTTTGTCTAGAAGAGGTAATTACGATATTGATCATTGAGTCACCGTATCTCTCCCTGCTCCAGTATTGTTCTTACAATTAACCCTTTGCACTACAGGACAGGAGGCTGTCCAGTCACTCAACATTGTATTATAGCTCTGTTACAAACAAGCCCAGAGTCCCTTTTGCAGCCTAACACCCAATAATGAGTCCGCTGTCTTCATTCAGGGACGTTACAAACAAACGATTCCTGTTGTTTTCATGAGGAGTCAAAATCCATTACAGAGAAATCTGGAGCACATCTTTGTTTTCTGAGCTGATGCACAAGTTGAGTCAGGGTTAACATCACACCAAGATCAATCCTCTGTCTCCCGCAACACGCTGATTTAATTTGAAAGTTTGATTTCCTGAGATCAATATCAGTTTTGGAGAATCAATGACCTGAACTGCCAAAGGCGCCACGGGACATTTAATGTTTATATTTCAGCACGTTTGGCTTTTGTAGCCGCTCAGTAACTAAGATGTACAATCACACTACAAGTAGAATATTTATGTTTCTTGTACAAAGCCTCCTCGTCGCTGATAAAGCAAAGACTACTAAAGGAAAACAGGTCTTCAGGAAATAAAATAAATGCTCTGTTATGAGAAAAATAGTAACTACATTTTCCTAAGCAGGGGAAATGTCAACAAGTCAAGATGGAAATAAGGACAAAAACATTTTAATCTAACTGACGGCATGTTGAAATATGCCAAGCTGGTTCCTTTTAATCAATAAAATCATCAGAAGTTAAATATTATTTTTGTGGTTGCTGTGAAATCCAGGAAGTTGTTATTCACATATGCTGTTTAACTTTGTGGTATTCATTTTCTGGAAAAGCAGCCCATTCCTATATTTAGTGCCAGCAAACCTGCAATCATTTAGAGCTAGCAATT